CTCGCTCCGAAGGAGCTACTGATATTCCACAGTGCTCATTAAGTTCGGACCATTTCGTCGGCCGAATAAATGTATCTTTCGAAGAAATCCCTTTGGAAGCAGTTGGAGGAGATGTACAATTACTTGGAGCCAGGTGGTCACAATATTCCGGACGATTGTCGGGCTGCGAACCGTGTAAGTGGTCGAAACATCTTTTATATTTATTTGTGACTGTGGATTAGCAAGTAAACATAATCGCTTTCTCTGCAGACGCTGAGGCATGTCAGGGAGCTGAATCGCGTGGCGTCAGCCCGTCTTCCGGCCAGTGGTGAGAAAGGGGCTGGCGTCGCGCCATTCCTAGGAACCAGCCTCCACTGAGTTTACGACGGGAAAAAGTAATTCATTCCTCAATTGTAAATCCCGTGGAGGATTCCATTCTGCTAGAATAGGAGCAGTTGAAAAGCACCTTAATCACTCGAACACTTTATACGACACACAATTTTCGAAAAATTTCGGGCGATCTTTCGATCAGCGTCGTTGCTGTCTTCGACAGTGGAAAGTCCTCGATTCGGGTACCTTTCAGCATAAGGAACTTTCTGTCACATACGATTTCACCTCTGGATTTCCTCCTGTGGTTTGAAAACCTTCAACAACCGACTGACCACTTTACCGAATTCTCTGAAATCTCTGCCACTGGGCGAGGAGAGGCGAATACGATCTCCCGTTGAGGACTTTTCAAGCTACACATGTTCTAGCTCCTATGCAGTCTGCTCCGCGATTGGGAGTTCTGAAATTATTGACGATCACAATCATCATTTTGTTTCATTGAAAATACATTGAAAGTCGCGTAACTCAATGTCGTGAATCGCGCCCAACCGTCTCGTCGGTTAATGGGCGAGCCGGACAAATAATTTCAGAACTTCCCAATCGCGGAGCTGACTGCATAGGAGCTAGAACATGTGTAGCTGAAAAGTCGTGGAGATCGTATTCGCCTCTCCTCGCCCAATGGCAGAGATTTCAGAGAATTCGGTAAAGTGGTCAGTCGGTTGTTGAAGGTTTTCAAACCACAGAAGGAAATCCAGAGGCGAAATCGTATGTGACAGAAAGTTCCTTATGCTAAAAGGTACCCGAATCGAGGACTTTCCACTGTCGAGGTTTCTATAGCACAGCAACGAATCTGATCGAAAGATCTCCCCAAATTTCTTCGGAAGATGGCTGTGCGGAATGAAGGTTTGTTCGAGGTGATTAAGGTCTTTTCAACGCTGCCTAATCTAGGCAAAGAGGAATCCTCTCCACGGGATTGTTACAAGTAGGAAAATATATTTCCTTTTTTCCCGCTGTAAACTCAGCTGGATGCTGGTTTTTCTGGAATGGCGGCGACATGTAGGCCCCTTTCTCACCACTGGCCGGAAGACGGGCTGACGCCACGCGATTCAGCTCCCTGACATGCCTCAGCGTCTGCAGAGAAAGCGATTATGTTTACTTGCTAATCCACAGTCACAAATAAATATAAAAGATGTTTCGACCACTTACACGGTTCGCAGCCCGACAATCGTCCGGAATATTGTGACCACCTGGCTCCAAGTAATTGTACATCTCCTCCAACTGCTTCCAAAGGGATTTCTTCGAAAGATACATTTATTCGGCCGACGAAATGGTCCGAACTTAATGAGCACTGTGGAATATCAGTAGCTCCTTCGGAATGAGTAGATGAATATGGATCTGAAAGCTCCATTCTGGAAACGCAATGTTTCTTGGTGTCGTTGACGCAAAGCTCTCAGTTCCACTCCTGCGCTCTTTCGAGCGATGAAAGTGTCACAGTTCTACTGTTATTGAACTGTCCAACTCGCGCATGGGGAGGCTCACTTAAATCCTATGGCTCATTCAGCTAGTTCCCCAGATGGCTATTATTGGGTTGGCGGGAAAGTCTGTCAGGCTGCGTTTATACTTTGCGGCAGCGTAGCGTAGCGCTTCCAGCGTACGCCAGCGGCAGTGCCGGGGAGAGGATGCATATCGATCTAGCGTTCCCAGCGTCACCAGCGTAACGCTAGCGTACGCCAGCGTTTCTCCAGCGTTTCGCAATCTGTGAAAGCGTTTTGCATAGGCGTTTGCAGCAGCAGTGAAGTGGAGACTACGGAAAGAGCATGCAGGGTAATACACGTCGATTCCGCGTCTCTTACGGCCACATAGTCTCTACTCCCCTGCCGCTGCAAACGCTAGCAAAACGCTGGTGAAACGCTGGAGAAACGCTGGCGTACGCTAGCGTTTACAACTTATGCGTGCGCGCAGCGTGAACGCTTGGTGAACGCTGGCACGCCAGGTCGATATGCATCGTCGCCCGGTAGTGCCGCTGGCGTAACGCTGGAAGCGCTACGTCTAAGGCTGGCGCAACGCTACGTCTAAAGACGCTAGCCGGCAAGTATAGAACGGCAGCATCAACTACTTTTCCGCAACTCAGAAATTACTTGCCCATTACCAAGAGTGGTAACCGGTAATGTAAGCTCTTATACAACAAGGAGTGGTCTCTCTGTTAGTACCACTCGCTTGCCTCTTGCTCCTTCTTCTGCAATATGCACAAGGATTTTATCGCGCTACCCTCAGGCCACCGCGCGACCCATGCCAAGCAAACTTCCACAAACTATTTCACCCACCACCCTGACGCCAGCGTGGCAGACGCCAAATTGATGGAGCTGAATAAGCACGATGCCCTCAATCATCGAGCAACCTTACCATGACAGTGACACTTCAAGACGGGAGCCTACAGTTTTGATGACGAAGTGGCGGTTTGGGTTACCTGCAACCTCAGCTTTGAGGTAGCTATGAGTCGGGAAACTGCTGGATGAAGAAGCTGGTTCCTTGCAAGGCGTACGCCTAAGAAGCTTAGCGAGATCTAAGGCGTATCGTGGATCAGAGGGAAAAATTTGTCCGCACAGCCGGCCCTCACCAAGATAGTGCAACGTACTTGGTCCAAAAAAGTTCGAGCCGTACCTCATGCAATGGAGCTTGATCTCTCTCCCCTTGCAATTGTGTAGCACAGACATCGCCCCTTCTAATAGCAAGTTGCCTTCCGTAATCGATCGTTATGCGGACGAGAAAACCTCCATAACCCAAGTTCAAGTCGAAGTTGAGATGGTGTCCAACTTTGCGTCGTGTCTCCCTGCATAGTGAAGCAATGGCATCCATGAGGTGCTCAAACACTGGCAAGGACCCCGCAGTAACACTGCCATACAATTTTGATCTTGTACCCTCTCTATAAAAAGAAAGCCTAGTTTGAAAAAAATGGAAGAATCTCTCCATCAACAACACAAAAAAAAAAGACAAAAAGGAGCGCAAGAAAAAAACCGGCGGAAAGAACAGAGAAAACACGAAGACACGGACAACAACACCTCCAAGCGAAGGTTAGGACAACACAACCATGTCCGGGAGGAGGAGGAAACGAGAGAGATTGCTGTCATCTATATTTTTTCAAACTAGGCTTTCTTTTTAATAGAGAGGGTACAATAACAAAAAACTATGATCAAATTGTATGCGCAATGTTACTGCGGGGTCCTTTGCCAGTGTTTGAGCACCTCATGGATGCCATTGCTTCACTATGCAGGGAGACACGACGCAAAGTTGGACACCATCTCAACCTCGACTTGAACTTGGGTTGGAGGTTTTCTCGTCCGCATAAATGATGCGATTTAAGCAGAAGGGCAAGCTTGCTTGTTAGAAGGGGCGATGTCTGTGCTACACAATTGCAAGGGGAGAGAGATCAAGCTCCATTGCATGAGGTACGGCTCGAACTTTTTTGGACCAAGTACGTTGCACTATCTTGGTGAGGGCCGGCTGTGCGGACAAATTTTTCCCTCTGATCCACGATACGCCTTAGATCTCGTAGCTGCTTGCGTACGCCTTGCCCAAGGAAGCAGCTTCTTCATCCACCAGTTTCCCGACTATGCTACCTCAAAAGCTGAGGTTGCAGGTAACCCAAACCGCACTTCGTCATCAAAACTGTAGGCTCCCGTCTTGAAGTGTCACTGTCATGGTAAGGTTGCTCGATGATTGGGGCATCGTGCTTATTCAGCTCCATCAATTTGGCATCTGCCACGCTGGCGTCAGGGTGGTGGGTGAAATAGTTTGTGGAAGTTGTTGGATGGGTCGGGGCTGATGGTAGCGGATAAAATCCTTGTGCATATTGCAGAAGAAGGAGCAAGAGGCAAGCGAGTGGTACTAACAGAGAGACCACTCCTTGTTGTATAAGAGCTTACATTACCGGTTACCACTCTTGGTAATGGGCAAGTAATTTGAGTTGCGAAAAGAGTGAATTGCTGGCGTCTATACGTTGGCGGGCAGCGTAGGGGGCGTCGCTCGTTGGCGCAGCTTTAGCGTTAGCGCTTCACGCGGTAGCACAGCGGGCCAGTACCGGGGCGCAGGATGCATATCGATCTAGCTTCACCAGCGTCACCAGCGGCACGCTGGCGTACGCTAGTGACACGCTAGCGTACGCCAGCGTTTCTCCAGCGTTTCACCAGCGTTGTTAGCATAAGCGTTTGCAGCGGCCAGGGGAAGTAGAGACTATGTTGGCGTAGAGACGGCGCAACTCGAGTGTTAATGTTACCCTGGCAGCTCTTCGCGTAGTCTCTACTCACCTGCTGGGCTCAAACGCTAGCGAAAACGGCTGGGTGAAACGCTGGAGAAAGCGCCTGGGCCTAGCGCCTTGAGCGTTGCCGCTGGTGACGCTGGGAACGCTAGATCGATATGCATCCTCTCCCCGGCACTGCCGCTGGCGTACGCTGGAAGCGCTACGCTACGCTGCCGCAAAGTATAAACGCAGCCTGACAGAACTTTCCCGCCAACCCAATAATAGCCGCATCTGGGGAACATAAGCTGAATGAGCCATAGGATTTAAGTGAGCCTCCCCATGCGCGAGTTGGGCAGTTCAATAACAGTAGAACTGTGACACTTTCATCGCTCGAAAGAGCGCAGGAGTGGAACTGGAAGCTGCGTCACACACCTCAAGAATGCATGCGTTTTCCAGAATGGAGCTTTTAGATCCATATTCATCTACTCATTCCGAAGGAGCTACCGATATTCCACAGTGCTCATTAAGTTCGGACCATTTCGTCGGCCGAATAAATGTATCTTTCGAAGAAATCCCTTTGGAGCAATTGGAGGAGATGTACAATTACTTGGAGCCAGGTGGTCACAATATTCCGGACGATTGTCGGGCTGCGAACCGTGTAAGTGGTCGAAACATCTTTTATATTTATTTGTGACTGTGGATTAGCAAGTAAACATAATCGCTTTCTCTGCAGACGCTGAGGCATGTCAGGGAGCTGAATCGCGTGGCGTCAGCCCATCTTCCGGCCACTGGTGAGAAAGGGGCTAGCGTCGCGCCATTCCCAGGAACCAGCCTCCAGTGAGTTTACAGCGGAAAAAAGGAATATATTTCGCTATTGTCATTCCGTGAGGATTCTCTATTTGGCTAGATTAGGAGGCAGTTTGAAAGAGTACGCTTAACACTGCGAACACTTGCATTACCGCACACCGCATTTTGCGAAAAAATTTGGGGCGATCTTTCGATCAGCTTCGTTGCTGTGCTATAGAAACTTCGACAGTGGAAAGTCCTCGATTCGGGTACCTTTTAGCATAAGAACTTTCTGTCACATACGATTTCGCCTCTGGATTTCCTTCTGTGGTTTGAAAACCTTCAACAACCGACTGACCACTTTACCGAATTCTCTGAAATCTCTGGGCCATAGGCGAGGAGAGGCGAATACGATCTCCACGACTTTTCAGCTACACATGTTCTAGCTCCTATGCAGTCAGCTCCGCGATTGGAAGTTCTGAAATTATTTGAGGATCAAAATCATCATTTTGTTTAATGAAATACATCTGAAATTCCGCGAGACTCTATGTCGTGGAATCGCGCCGACCGTCTCGTCGCTTAAAGAAGCGAGCCGGTAGGAACCAGCGCTCTGGTTGCACTTGCCGTGAGTCCTATCCTGAAATGCATGAAGCACGGGAAACCGCACCTAGGGTGAGTTCCACTTTCGTTAACCAAAGTCAGTCGGCGTTTAAGCGCTCGCCTCGGGCGGTTCTGTGAAGCAGCGTGACATTCACAGCCATCACGACACATATCCGTGGGTCTTCCTCTGTCACATGTGATCAGCTGCGTCCCACTTTCTCTCTCCTAAGGCTCCTCGTTTTCTGTAGTCTGCAGGTATCTCTGGAGGTTTCTGAGACAATAATGGTTCGTCTGGGGATAACAGGCGTAACGGACCATCTGTGTTTTGGAGTGTTTTCTTCTTCCAATATTCTTTTTCTTTTGTTCGCTAATGTTCTCCTCTCTCTGTATTCATAAATATTGCCAATGAATTACGATATTAATTGTTTTGTCATCCCATGCTTTGCTTACTTTAAGCCCTTCTTTGTTGGTGGTTTTACTAAACCCTTCCTTTGTAAGAAATGTCTTTATAGCTGGTGTCCTGCCGTTACTGTCTCGGCTGGTAATTATGGGTA